CACTGGGTGGGCAGGGCATGAGTCTCCGCCCAGCAGCAGGAGGCACGTGGCATCAAGCCTGCGTGGGGTGGGCAGCACTGGGGCTGCACCACGCTGTGCTTCGGGTGAGTGTAGCGGCACTGGGAGTGGGTGCTGTGCCACTTGCCCTGCCAGGGCTGGGCTGCTGGGCTGCCTCTGGACAAGCAGCATGCAGCAGCGGGAGCCATACCCCTCCCCTCCCCATGCCACCTGAATGAGCCACAGCTCCGTCCTGCACTCGCCGCACCCCAGCTGCGCGAGCAGTGGGAAGTATGGAAACGGGGGCTGTGTGACCCTGGATCGGAGTTGGAAGATGAACAGGGGCTGTGGGGAGACTGCGGCCACCTGAAAATTTGCCGTAGCCTCCCCCATAGCTCCTGCCACCTGCCCGAAGCACAGTGCAGTGCAGGCCCATCCTCACCCGCCCCACACAGATCCGGGAGCAAATGCTTGCCCCCCCCATGCCCTTCCAGATGATCAGCTCCTTCCTGAATGCAGGGGTGTTGATCTTCTCCCTCCCCCTTCCCCTTCTACCACAACAAATTTACCAGCTGGATGCAGCTGTATCACATGTCAAATCTCACCCATTTATAACATTGTTCCTATGGGAAAGTTGGTTCCAAGTTACAATGTTTCAACTTAAAATGCAGTTTTCAGGAACCAATTGGGTCACAAGTGTGAGGACTGCCTGTCTCATAAAGGCATGTATGGAAAAAATTAGGATGACCAAGGCATAACTTGAAATGCACCTGGCAAGGGACATAAAAGGCAATACAAATGGATTTTATAAGTGTATCAAAAGTAAGAAGGCAACCAGAGAAACTATAGCTCCTACAGAGAATGTGGATGGCAATCTAGTGATGGATGATACACAAATAGCTGAAGTATTTAATGCCTTATTTACTTCAGTTTTCACAAACAGGCAATTACCAAGTGTTGAATGCAATTGGCAGCAAAGGTAGGGAAGAAAACAAGCAGTGTAGAGCAGTAGAATAACAGATTGGGGATTACTTAGAGAAGCTAGATACTTTCAAGCTGGCAGGGCCAGATACAATGTACCCTAGGGTATTGAAGGAACTGGCTGAAGTAATTTTGAGAGCCATTGGCTATCTGCTTTGACTACTCATAGGTTGGATGCCTGAAAAAGGGAAAAATAGAGTGCCGGTCTTTAAGAAAGAGAAGGTGGCGGCTCTGGGGAAGTATAGACCATTCAGCATGACCTTGATACCTGGAAAGATCGTGGAGTAGGGCATCAAGGAATCTATTGTGAATCACCTAGAAGAGAACAAAAGGGATCAGGAACAGCCAGCATAGATTCACCAAGAGCAAGTCCATGCCTAATCAACCTGATTTCCTTCTACAATAAGTTGAACAGGCTCTGTGAATGGTGGGGAAAGCAATGAATGTGATAACCTTGACTTTAGCAAGGTTCTTGACATGGTCTGCCATGACATTCTCATTAACAAACTAAGGAAATATAGACCAAATGAAAGTACTGTAATGTGGATACATAACTGATTGGCTCCTAATTCTCAGTGAGTAGTCATCAATAGCTCAATGTCTAGTCTGGAGGAGGTATCAAGTGGGATTCCCCGGAGGTCTGTCCTGGCTCCAATATTGTTTGGTATCTTCATTAATGATTTGGATGATGAGAACATGTACACATTTAGGAAATTTGAAGAAGACAACAAGTTGAGTGGAGTTGCAGACACTGGAGGGTAGGGCTAGGATCCAGAATAACCTAGATCGTTTGGGGAAATGGTCAGCAGTCAATTAGATGAAATTCAACAAGGAAAAGTGCAAAGTCCTGCACTCATGATGAAATAATCACTTGCCAAAATACAGACTGAGAAATAATTGTCTAAGCTGCAGGACTGCAGAGAGGGACCTAGGGGTTACAGTAGAACAAAGGTGCTCAGTGCTTGGTCCACAGGCCAGATCTGGTCCCTAGTGCCAGATCAGCTGTTCTGCAGGGCTCCCCATATACCTGAATATTTTGCTGCCAACTTTCCAGACCCATGGGAAGTGTAAAGGGGCCCTGTGGGCTAGATTGGGTGCATAGGGTGGTAGAGGACCTGATACTGATTTCCCAGGCTAGATGTGGCATCACAGGGGCACTATCTGAGCAAGCAGGGGTGGCACAGGACCCTGGGGCCCCATCCTAGCATATGAAGGCAGTGCAGGACCTGATCCTGGTGCTCAAGGGTGAGTGCAGGGCCACAAGGGGTCCAAGACCTGATCTTGGCACCCAGGTCCCAATCCAGGTGTGTGCGGCTAGGCAGAGGTAATGTGAGGCCCAGTCCATCCCGCAGACTGGCCCTGGCAGTCATGGATTAATATTTATTAGGGACCTGGGCTCCAGCGAGGGAGGGGCCCCTTCCCCTCCAGGTGATGCTGTTGCCAAAGGCAGAGTGGGCCTCCATGCCCCATGGGTAGGAATGATGCTAGGAGGGGGCTTGGGGTAGCTATAGCCACCCCAGAATTCACCTGCCACCACCCACCCGCCCTGTGCAGCTGAGCCTGCAAAGGTGCAGCACCCCCTTCAGGGGCGGGGACTGGGCCAAGAAGAGGCTGGGTGGACCTGGCCAGGCTGGGGAGGCGTGGCATATGCCCACCACTCCTCCCTGCTTCCTGCCTCCTCCCATTCCCCTGCCATGGCCAGAGCAGAGCTGAGCCAGGCGAGGACAGAGGCAGGCAGCTCACTGCAGACTTGGAGCTCTCTACCCTGCTGCCTTTGTCCCCAGGCAGGCAGGCAACTCACAGCCCCTGGGCAAAGGCAGCTGGGTGAAGAGCCCCAAGGCCGCAGTGGGAAGCCCTCATCCGTCCCATGCACAAGTATGGGGGGCACATGCTCCCCCATGCCTCCCCTGGGAGAGTGCGTGCAGTGACGGAGAGCCACCCCCTGCACCACTTGGATGAGCTGCCTGTGGCTCTGTCCTGCTCCCTGCCCTGGTCCCAGGTCCCACACACCATTGTGGCTGGGCAGCACCCCTAGTCTCCTGCTCCCTCTTTCACCATGGAGACCCTGATATGCCCCCCTGCCCTTCACTTACCTGCAGGGAGCTGTTCTCCACACTCCCCAGCTATGTTCTGGGCCACATGCACACAATGCCCCTTGTGTGTTGCTCCTGGCAGCTCCTTGCAGGCTGGAATGGTTCCTGCCTGCAAAGGGAAAACTGCCATTTCTTGCAGGGGCCCCAGATTGGCAGGGGCCCCACCAGCCCATGCATTAATATACAAATGGACCGGGCCATTCATGGCCCACTGAGCTAATAGACTGAGTAGCACTGCTGCCACAAACTGAATGTGAACCAACACTATACTCTTGTTGCAAAAAAAGGTAGCAGCATGCTGGGTTTTTTTAACAGCCGTGTCGCTTACAAATCAAGGGAAGTGATTCTTCCACTCATGGATTTAGTTACGAACGATTCTACTTTGAGCAGAGAACTGGGCTAGATATCCTTGTGAGGTCCCTTCCAACCCTACCTTTCTATCATTCAGTAATCCAAAGTGTATGTACTATCATCTTTTTCTTATCTGTCAGGTGCAAGCAATGTTCAAAACCAAAGACTATCAAGAGTCTACATTTCCTTTCTGAAGAAGAACATCCCTCATGGGAACCTAGTGAAGTGGCACAAAGTAAGTTGACTGTAAGCATGGAATGAAATACTGTTATACTTTTATTCTGGGCCTTAGATACAGAATATTCAGTGAATGGATTGCAGTTTGTTAATGTCTTATATGCATCGTGTGTGTATGTAAGTTTGTGGCTATTTGGTGTATCTGCATTTCCCTGGCTGGAAATAAACACATACTTACCTTTTAAAATGATGTGTTCAGAAAAATTGAAAATCTTTTTATCTATAAGAAACCTTAGCCCACTGTTGTTTCTTCTGCAGTAAGTAATATTGCTAACACCTAAAGCAGTGTAGGTGTAATGAATCTTTATATACACAGAGAACAAAAGGTAGTTGTGAGTTGCATATATCTAAGTAGCGTTGGGGTAAAGTTTATATAATGCTTTTAAATATAAGTACTTAAAAAGAAGAATTGTTCTTATCTGTGAACAGTAGTAGATTTTTTTAACTTTTAAGGGCCTTGTTAATTTAAACAACTCCTGGAGCTCTTAACCCCTGGATTGTCTACGTATTACCACCTAAGACTAGTTTTAAATACATTTTAGACAGCTTAGTTATGCCACCCCAGGGCAAATTTATCTCTGATTCATGCTTTCCAGCTCATGCTCAATTAATTTGTGGTCATTCCCTAAAGGTAAGCTGCCCAAGTTGCTGTCATCCAGCATCCCAGGATGCAGTGTTCCTACCCCCACCCTACTGTTCTGTGTGGACAGACTTTCCACCCCCTGAACTCTACTGTCCAGGGATGGTTCTGGCACCAATCCAGCTCACCCTCCCACCCCCAGGCATGCAGCCTTCCCACCCCCAGACATGCAGCTCCACACAAACAGCTTGTATAGCACATGCCAGCCAGCCAGGTCACAGGTCTCAGACAAGTCCAGGAGTAGGGTCTAGGAAGGTTGGGGGGAACAAGCTAGTGGGCCAAATCAGGTTCTCATGAGCTGCAACTTCCTTCCTGGGGCACAGGCAGTAGCTCCCCCAAAAGTGCCTTCCCTCATCACTTCCTCCTTCCAGCCACCTTGGGAAACATTACTAGTAACTTCCATACCCCAGTCCCAAATTCCAGTTTATTAAAACATTCAACCTTTTTAAATTTACTTTCTCTTTATTTCTTTTTAAATTCTTTTTTTCCCCTTCTCTTCATTTTATCCTTCAGTGGCTGACTTCCTTCATGTCACCACTCGTCCCCCACCTCCCATTTAATTCCTTTCCACCTCCCATTTAATTACCCACTCACCCTCAAGCCCTCTCTCATACATAGAAGCTTGTTCTGGCTCACCAGCCCTCTATAGTGGCAAGTCACAGTTGTGCAGGTAAAGACAGTTAGAGAAGGTTTTCAGCTGTAAGGTGCATCAGCTCCAAACTCAAGCTGGCACCAACACTGAGCAACATTTGAGCATCTCAAAGTACAGCATGTAAAAAAGGCCCTAAAGAAAAAAACACTAGAGGGCATTAGTGTGCTAGTCTCACATATTACAATGGGAATTATGGAGGAGTTAAATCTATAAGGAGTCGAAAGGAATTAGTCTATAAGTCACCTTTGACAATCTTTGCCATAGTACTATAAGGTAGTCAGTCCTGACAACCGTTGGAGGAAATACAGAGCAGTGAACAGGCATATAACATGAATATTGGTGTCTGTTAACCCTTTTAAGATCAAGGCACCCTTTGTAAAATGCCAGGTTTTAAACTTTCACTCTCTTTTTTTTTTTTTTTTTTACTACCAAAAAATAATTCTTGTGCAGCAAACAACTCTGAGCACAACAGGCCAGAATATTTTTTACTATGAATTCCTATGTGATATCTCTGGTTTTATCTTGTAAATCATATGTAGGTGTGTGCACCCATAACAGTTCTCATATTATGTGACACCCTTAAAAGGGCCCACTAGGGGGGACCAGAAGGGTTTGGGGGAGACACTGTTTCCCCTAGCACCCCCTGGCATAACAAGGAATAATGGACACAAATTATTGGAAGTAGGTTTAGATTAGACATCCGCAAGAACTGCTTTGCAGTTAGGCTGGCTAGGAGCTGGAACCAACTTCCAAGGGAAGTGGTGCTGGCTCCTACCCTGGGGGTCTTTAAGAAGAGGCTTGATGCCTACCTGGCTAGACTCATTTGAGTCCAGTTTTTGTCCCGCCCAGGCAGGGGGTCAGACTTGAAGATCTACAAGGTCCCTTCCAACCCTACTTCTATGATTCTATGACCTCGCATTACCATAGTTGAGAATCACTGGGAACAGAGGAAAATAGACTCAACAGTTTCTGGATAGAATTATGTTCAGTTCAGCTCACATTCCAATTAGGATTTAAAATCTCAGGATGCCTCTCAGCTTGCAATGATTTTTTTTTTAAATAAATGCAGACATGATGATATATAAAAGAAGAGATCATAAACATCCTCTTCAAGTTTATAGTATGATTGTAAGTGTAAGTTAATATATTTCATAGATTTCATAGACATTAGGGCTGGAAGGGACCTTGGAAGATCGAGTTCAGCTACCCGCCCAAAGGGTCATAGGATCCCAGCAACATAAGCATCCAATTTGCTTTTGAACGTGTTCAATGTAGGTGCTTTAACCACCTCCAACGGCAGGCTGTTCCAGACCTTGGGGGCTCAGACAGTAAAGAAATCCTTCCTTATGTCCAGCCTGAAATGGTCTTGCTGTAGTTTATAACCGTTCGACC